TTGGGGGTTTGGGTCCTTTTACACAACCCCCCAAGGTTTTTTTTGCGCCCCCTGGCCGTAAGACCCCCTTTTTGACCCTTTCGGGGGGGTTTAAGGGTTTTTTTAGGTTTGGGGGTAAAAAGTTATTTTTTTACAACCCCCCCCCCGGGGGTTTGCCCATCGATGTTGGGTCCTGGGGAGCAATGCTCCGTCCTTTGGGGGACATGGGGTCAATGCCCAAAGGCATGCAAAACAGGGGGGGGCCCCCCCCTCCCCCCCCCCCCCCCCCACCGCCACCATCAGCGCATGGCGAAGCTCTACCCCTGCCGGCCAACATGCGCACCCGCAACAAGAAGCGCTCACTCGACAACGAAGACGACGGCGGCGATGGCAACGATGCCGATAATGCCAAGTCGGGGTCTGGCAAGAAGGAGAAGAAGAGAAAGGGGAGGAGGACCGGGTTGCTGGCCATACAAGGGCCGCTGATGATGGCGTAAGTGTGATTATTGTGTCTGCCGCGTGGTGCTGTGTGATGGTGTGCTGCGCTGTTCAATCACATGCGGGCCGCAAAATCTATGCACCTGTGCATGCAACAACCAGTTTGTGCCACGTGCTTCTTGTTGCAAGGCCCCCTTCCATCCTTTTCCCTCCGCCTGACTACAACGGTGAACGGTAGCGCCACACCACCTTTACTTGACGGGACACCATGGTTTTGATAAACATACGCCGCCAGGTCTACCTGAAGCGCGGTGTTGGACGCAGTTTGTGTGTCGCCTTGCTTAGCCCTTCGGGGATCGGTGTATTCCCGTGCCCCGCCCTTTCCGCCATCTTCTCGTCTCCCCGGGCATGATTGCATGCACAACTTTCTGTGCGCCCTTTTGCAAATACCACACCCCTCTCATCTCCTCTTGTGGCCCCCCTAACGGCGTCTGTCTCGAATTCACCGCGCCCTACCACCTCAAACCTCTCCCCGAAGCCCTTTTCGAACTTACCCTCGTTCACCTATGACTCGAACAATTAACAAGCAGCCTGGTGGTTGTCCTGTTGCGCGCTTCCTCTCTGTCTCTTTCTCTTTCTCTCTCTCTCCCTCCCTCCCTCTCTCTCTCTCTCTCTCTCTCTCTCGCTTTCTCTGTCCTTCACCGTTCCTCGAGCAGTGACCTGGGCCACTTGCAGTTCCGAGCGAGTGAGTTGAACGAGAGCAGGAAGAAGGCCAGGGAGGAGGCCGCTCTTGCCAAGGCCGCGGGGTTCGAGTGGGTCAACGTGAGTGAGACAAGGCAGCGCGACTTTTTTTCTCCACTACGGTGTCAGTTGTTGTTTGCGAATACGATGGCATCGTGGGATTTTGTACCATGAAGGCGGAGGAAGGGAGGGGGGAGGGGGGGGGGGGGAGGGGGATGTTAAGAA